AAGACAAGAATTAGAGGATAACAGAAAATAAAATCCTCTAAATTTCAAACTAACACATACGATATTTAACTCTTATTTATACCCATGTGTGAAAAGGGAAGCTACAAGGATTATTTCACTTACCTGTCCATGTTAACATGATATAAGAAGTGAAGCATGATGAAAGAGAAAAGGTGACAGGAATCAAAGAAACACCAATCAAGACTTCAGAGATAAAAACCATACAACACCTTTGAATTCAAACAGGGAAGAAGAGTAAAAAGTACTTGTGGGCAGTCCACGTTGTGTATAAGTATAACCAGGGACATGATGTAATGATATTAAAGATAAGGTGGGTATAAACCTGCATTATTTCAACATAGCGACGTGATTTTTGCAGCTTGGAGACATTGTCTAGATCATCATAATTAAGTGCTTCAATGTCTGCTAAGTCTCCATCTTCCTCCATCTGATCAACATCAAGATTCTCCTCATCCTGGTCAAATAAAGCGGAGAAAATTCAGTCGAAACTAAATGAAGATAGGAAAGGAATTTGATAACCGAAAGGACAACATCTTCCACCCACAATCTTCTCACAACCCTAAACATAGAAAAGTTACAGAGAAAAATAGAAAATAAAGAAACGGAGATTTCTAACACCTTGTTGGATGGTTGCTACCCGTTGTATTGTATTGTTAGCTTAAATACAATGTTTGTTTCGATTATTGTATCGTGTCGTTTAAATCCATCTTTAGGTAACAACGGAAAGTAACATTTTAGTGTAAGGATCGATGTTGTTTGATCATACCGTTACCTTACTATTTTCTTCTCATCTGGACTTAACTTATTATTTAATAATCCTATTTTATCATTTGCTCTACTTGTGCAGGTTTATTCGTTGATGTAAGATATTATGTAAATAAAGAGAAGACAATCTATCAACCTGTTGTTTTTATTAAAACAATCCAATACGATGTAAGCATAACACAATACTATACATTATGAAACAATCCATAACTACCATAAAAACAGAGTGCAATGAGCCGAAAACAACGAGTGAAAACAATACACTCACAATAACATCAGCTTCATTATCGGACAACTCGTCCAGATCTGCCAGGAAAGAATCAGCCAGAGTTGCCTGAAACCAGGTAAAATCTATTAAAACCCTAAATCAATAATCAATACAAATATCCAAAACACGAAAATTAAGAAAATTGGCTAATCACCATTATTCCTGCGCCAAAACTCCAGCAGACCAGTTGATGATTTTGCTGCAAACAGTAATCTGCGAAGAAATTAACAGGAAGGATATAGAAAACGGAATTTTGTTAAAATTTAAGCAGAAGAAAAGTGAACAAAAAATTACAACAACAGAGAAATAAGAAATTCGGACTCTGAAAGAACCGACTCTAATTAATGGGCTGGGTCCGCTTATTGAAGCCCTGATAGATGGCTAACCAAGCCCATGCTTGAAGAACAGCTATGTAACTAATAACCTAAAATAAATGGAGTAGCTAGGATTTGATTTAATTGTGCTTCATAACAAACATCTGTAAAAAATTGCCAAACACTCTCTCCCAAATATCTCGCTCTCCGCTCTCCTCCAATCTCTCGCTCGCTTTTTATATAAACACAAGTATATATAAAAATTGTTTCTAATCGTATAAATACATATATTTTTGTTCCCCTCTCTCCCCTTTTACAGATCTTGCTTGCCACTCTTCCAAATCTCGCTCGCCACCCTCGCCTTTCTCACTTATACAAATAGAAGCGAAATGTATAAATTGTGTTTCTGTTTGTATAAAGCGAGAAAAAATTGTATATACACATGCAACTACATATATTTTCGTCCTATACACTTATAATTATATAATAAAATAGTCTCCTGCCCATTTTCTTTTGTCTTTCTCTCTTTCTCGTTTTATACAATTTTCAAATTGTATCCAATTTCTCTCTTTCTTGTTTTATACAATTCGATTCAATTGTATATTCCTTGTCAAGTCTCTTTTGTCTTTCTCTCTTTCTCATTTTATACAAATTCAAATTGTATATAATCATTCTATACACTTATAATGATACAATTCGTTTTATACACTTCGTTTTTATACGGTTCTTTACCAAGTGTCTTTCTCTTTCTTGTTTTATACACTTCGTTTTATACAATTTGCTTCAACTGAATATGTATAGCGAATTATACAGTTTCTAAGTTTGTTATGGAGCGTAATTATGCAAACTTTGCTATAACATATAAATATGAATTTTTTATTTGCTATATGTGAAAGTTGCACATAAAAAAAATTTAAAATTGTTTAAATTTTAACCATTTAGAATTTATTTATGTTTGTTTGTCATATATGATTTTTTCTCATTTGATGTCGCGTATCTAAATTGGAGGCTGACTACTCCATATTCATGTCAGATGGCGATCCATTAGGAGGTAGCGCTTTTTACTAAAAAAAAATTCTTACACTTGAATCATTGTCACCCGTTGTTTCATAATGTATTGTAATGTATTCTATTATATTGTATTATATGATAGATAGAATGTTTGGCTAGACTGTATTGTTTGTTGTTGTTTAATAACATTTTAATTGTTTGGCTTAATTGTATCGTACTATATTGTAATTTATAAATTTACCAAAATATTCTTAGTTATTCTAGGGTAGGAGGTTTGACTAGATTTAAATAATTAAGGTAAAGGATAAAATCGTATTTTGAAATATTATGTAAAGATATAATTGAAAAAAAAGAAATTAAGAAACAATAGAACACACCAAATTGGTTGTTCCATAAAATAAGAGTTTTCATTGTTATGTAACAACGAAATTTAATAATATAGTACAATACATTTTAAGTAACAATCAAAACAAACATTGTAGGTGTAATAACAATATAATGGATAACATTGATCCAAACATAGTATTAGTTAGTGCTCGTACTTGAGACTCTAGTTAAGATGGAGTAGCTTTCATTATTCATTGACCACATCCTTTTAAAATTGAGACTTCAAACACCCGACGTTTTCAAATTAGGCTTGATTAATGGCAATGAAGAGTCGAAGCTAATAATGATTTGTTATCAAAGAATTTGATTAATCCTTTTATCTAGCACAAAAGACATAAGTAATTATAACTATGAAAATTTACTTTCATTCAAAATGTTATTTGATACATAATTATACTATAAATGGTAATTTAAAAATATTATTATAGAATAATTTTCGAAAATCTTATCCAATTAAACACTAAAAAATTCATATTAAATAAGTGATATGTTTTACATTTATCTAAAGAAACAAAATTGCTGCGTGGGAGGATATCTGTAATTCAATTATATGCTTAAATTAAAAAATAACATACTTCGTTCACCTATAACTTTGACTACTAAATAAAAATAAGCTTGGAAAGAAAATCATAATTGTTTGTTGTGAAGGCACGCAACCAATGCTTGTTACAATTTGTATTATTTAAAAAGAGTCTTTTAACCGGATAAAGTTAAAGACTTTTAAATTATGAAAATATCTTTTATAAATTACAGAATAAAATTGTGCGCAATTTTTTTTTATTATCTATCTTTTCTCTAAATCAAATTATAATTAAATTATTAAAATTGTGCGCAAAAGATTTTTATTATCTAACTTTTCTCTAAATCAAGTTATAATTAGATTATTAGAATTACATATTATAATAACCGAATAAGAGTATCAATTTACATAGGGAAATGCAAGAGAGGTATACCATCTAAGATACTTAATATTTCTTTCCTTGTTAATTAAAAATTTTAATTTTTTTAAAATTAAAAACTTAGATCAAAAAGAAAATATCGCTTTTAAAAATAAATCTTGTAACACATAAATTTCAAATTAATCAAAATTTCATAGACAAAAATATATATATATTTATAAAAAAAATAAAAATTGTTTGACGAAGCTTTACAAAAGCATGTAATATCTTGTCTCCTCTTTGTTTCTGTTTGGCTATCAAAATATTTTAATTATCAAACTATATAAATTAAAACACTCGTAAAAATATTTGTATATTATTTTAGTTATATTTCAAGTTAGATAATAATTTTTGCTTCTAAAATCATAAACTTCCACAAATATTTTTTCAATTAAACTCTATGTCCAAATAAAATTAGAAAATTAAAATATTATTTTATAACTTAACTTCAAAACATATTTTATTTTATAACTTAACTTCAAAACATATTTTATTTTCCAACTTAACTAAATATCATCCAAACATGTACATACATCTCAAAGTTCAAATTTCTTATTCCCTTTGGAAAATAATTAATATTAAATATAATCCCAAACACACAATAGTCCATTTAACATTCAAAGTCGGTCTTTTCAAACCTACATGCCAGTGGGTCCTAAAAGAAAGGAAAATCACAATGAAGCAGGTACCAAAATCAAAACGCGTCATTTCCAAATAAGTTTTATAGTATAGAATTTAAATCAATTAAAATTTTAATGCAATATTAAAAATCAGTTTTTAAAAATTCCAAAAATAAAAAGTAAAAATGAAACGCCACGCATAAAGTACCATTTGGGTATAGAAGTAATACTAGTATTAACTCTTTAGAAAATACTTAATATTTTTTCACATTATTTTAAAATTAATATTCTACCATAAAAAAATCAATTTTTATATTTTGAAATTTCAAAGATGATTATAACATATTTTCAACTCATTTTTTAATTTTTAAAAATTTAAATATATTTACACGTAAATATTATTTCTAATATATTTAATTAAAAAACATAACATAACTCTCACCTCAACAATTTCACTCATACTCAAAGTCCTTATTTTCACCGCCCAGTGCCCACACCTCCTATTCGACGCCGACTCTCGACTTTTATGATATTTATCTAAGATTATATACAAATAATTACTTAAATAATTACTCAATAATAAAATTATTATTAAATTTTTAAATATAGTATTTAAAATTTATCATCGAAACGCCCCTCCTAATTAAAGAAGACCCACGGGTTTCCAGAATAATTACCCACAAATCCTCTTCTTCTCCTCTTGTTTTGTCCCATATAAAAGGCGCCATTTGCACTCCCCATCCCCATCGTTTAAAAACCCCTAAACCCTCAAATCTCTCTTCACTCAAAGCTCCTTTTACATTGTCATGCGAAAATGATTTCTCGTGGCTACGCAACGGATACTCAGTCGAAATCCTCCGATATCGCCGCCACCATACTCGCCGCCTCGTCGCCGCTGCAGATCCTCGCTGCGTGCGATGCCGTTGAGTCGTTTCTACACAAGCTTACAGCTGACCAGACCCGATGGTTCTTCTCCATCACTTTCCCAACCCTAATATGTAAAATTTTCGGGTTCGATGAATCGTCTTCTGCTTCAGCTGCTGTCAAGTCTATGTCTCCTTCTGGATGGATAGATATCGCCACTTTATCCAATGATACTCAGCTCGCAGGTTTGCTTCTGAAACTCTGCGCGTTTCCATTTCTGAGCTGATTGCTTTGTATTTACTTCCGTTTTGTTAGGTTACTTCTTACAAATAAGTATAATTTCTTATAATCTAATGTGTTTTAGCTTTTAGGATGGTCTAGTAACTGTTTATACATTTATCATCACATTGTCATGAATAGCAGTTAGCGTTCTTAGCTAATTAGTTGTTTTTTTAATGCCATTACTTGATGACTATCTAGACTACACATTTCTGAAAGCGAATTTATAAGCCGCCACATATTCTAGGATTGTTGTGTGACATTTTTGTTTTATGTTTTATCTGTAAGTTGCTATAGTTTGGAGGTAGAATTTCAGCTTATAAATAAATTGATCTTTCCTCCCATTATTTGGTGAATATCGTGAATTATTCATCTAGAAAGCTCATTCAGAAACCTCTACATCTTTTGGAATTTTTCATTTTTTGCGTATTGCGATGCTTTAGTCATTTTATTTTATGTTATTCCAAATGTTCTGGTTTACATGTAGATGCTCAGCTTATTATGTGAGTTTTGTGTGAACCTATAATCCTCCTTTGTTTCCAGAAAGTTTTTTTAAATTTTTTTAGAACTATTTTTTATGTTTTGCAATGAACTGTCTTTGTTTTTTTGGTAACAAATGTTATTGTTTACAGGCAGAATTTTCAGCTTATTATCGCCCACTGGTGTGTTGCTATCTTCTATTGTGGCTGCGGATGGGCTGTCTCTGGTTAAATATGTATTTCCTGTAGAAAGGTTACCCGAATGGGTTCGTCATATGCTTCAAAATGAAAGGGATTCTTTGGTTTTGTCTGACTTATGCCCGTTATTCAAGAATAGGTTGAAGGAGGACTCAGTTAAGGGTTCTTCATTTCAGGTTCAGTTGAATGTGTTTGAATATTACATGTTCTGGTTTGTCTATTACCCTGTTTGTCGAGGTAACAGTGAGGGCCCTCAAACTGTAAGTGTTAGAAGAAGCAGAAGGTTTAGATTGGAGAATTGGGCTTATTCGATTCCAGGTTTATCAAGTACCAAACGTGGGATGGAGCAGAAGAATGAGGGCGATTTGTATATGCGTCTCTTGTATGCATATCTCCGTGCATATGTGCCTGTAGCTGATATGAAGGCACATCAACCATATAGGAGCTCACTGCTTCACTACTCTTTTTCCTATGAGACTCCAATTGTTGAAAAAGCAGAGTTCATGGTTAACACTCTCATATATTTTTGGTTAGTTGATAATGATTTCTCACCATTGCCTGTAAACTTGTGCAAATCATTTGGCGTGACATTCCCTTTCCGGTCAGTACTGGGTGAGATTCCTCCTACTTCAGGATTAGGTGAAGTAGTAAATGTGTGTGTCAAATATCTGAATCTAAGTTCGATTGCATCAAGTGATAAAACTGACCAGGTTGACTACACTGAAAGTCCTAAGTGGAAAGTTGGGGGGACATTCGGTGCTTCTCAGTCAAGAAATGCTGTTCCCGTCATGGATTCTGGTAATTCTTGGAACTCGTGGATTCAGAGGCCATTGTACAGATTTATATTGAGGACATTCCTGTATTGTCCAATGGAAAGTTCTATTAAGAATGCATCTCAGGTGTTCACCTTGTGGGTTAGTTACCTGGAGCCCTGGTCTATTTCTATGGAAGAATTTGTAGAACTTGATGCGGATCTGGGGAAGTCTAATAGAGGTACATTAAAGGAGGTTACCCCATCAACGCCACAAGGTTATACCTCTTCTTGGCAAGTTTTTGTATTAGCTAACTACTTATACTACAGCGCTTTGGTCATGCATTTTATTGGTTTTGCCCACAAGTTTCTTCACACAGATCCAGAAGTGATAGTCAAGATGGTTTCAAAGGTCTGTTCCATTTTCAAATCTTTCCTTTTGTTGGTTACTATTGTAGAGAAGCTTCTGGTGCATATTAGTTGGGTGTTTGTTGCAATAATGAGTGGCTGAATGCATGACATGTACTGCCAGTTTTGTGCATGGTCCTTGTATGGCACGTCTGGTCATCAATTACCTTTATATGACTACTTTAGCTTTCACTAGCTAAATGAGAACTGCTCCAGAGAACACCAGTCTTGTGGTTTCAGTTTCAACAAATACTATGGATTTTCATATTGCCAATTGTTGGTAATATTAATTACTTTTCTTTGTTCTTTGGAAGTGTTTTTGTGCTACTTTGAAGAGTCTGATGTAATAAATCGCATGGTAATAGAGGACAGAAGACAATGGTCTTAGTTGCCTTGCCAAAACCATGAATCATGGTACAATTGAACTTGGGATTGTAAGATCTAATGGCACAGTAGCCTTGAGTTTGGCCGTCATCTCAATTTTGCTAATATTAGAAAGAAATTGTGAACAGACTGGAGCATCTCACCAGGGGCTGTTGATCAAAATATTTTGGACCAACTCCTCTAATTATGTGTCTCAGAGCATATGTTGTTAGTTTAGTGCACTGTGCTGCCCTGCCCCTTAGAGCATTTGTTGTTACTATTTAGCGTTCTTAAAAGCATTCCATTTCTTTATCCTTATTGACTTTTAGATTAGTTAGGCTTTCCACATGATTTTATTTCACTATCGTTCTCCTTGTCCCTTTCTAAACTATGCTTTAATTGTGCAGGTGATAACAATACTAACATCATCTGCAGAACTGATGGACCTCATAAAAAATGTGGATATTGTATTCCATTCGAAACCAGCTGGATCATCTAAATCAATGCTCAATGCTTTGCATAGATATGTTCCTGCTATTCGTGAGCAATTACAGGTACTCTAATAGCTTGTCTTACCAGTGCTTCCTTAAATGAAATGTACTCTCATTTTACCGATAGAAATATCTTGTCAGCAAGCATCAAAAGTAAGTGAAGAAATGCTGAACTCTGCAATAGTAATAGTGGTTACAGTATGATACATGTAGATGATGTGTAATTCCCTTAAAGTAATGAATGGAAATAGAAAAAAGATGTGAATAACTTTATATTATTTTATCTTATGTGCCCAATCTTCACTTGCACATTTCAACCAACATCTATGAGCCATTTGGAGAGATGAGGTTAGGTCTTGAAATTTGATTTCTGCTTTCATAAAGAGAGGAGTAATTTATGTGTATTGTGTTTGCCATTATGAAACCTATAATCATCTTCCAAAATTAGGTCATGTATCTTTGGAATGGTCTTACTAAATTATGAAATGTCAAAGTGTCTAATGAGCTTTGCTTATGCGTAGGGCTTCATCAGATTTTCAAGAAAGTATTAGCAACATATGTGTAGCTCTTTCTAGTAGAGCCTTACTGCATGCATATACATGCTAGCTCCAATAGTCATGAACTTATGTTAGGGGTGTGAATACCTTCACTTGGTATGCTTCTTCCAATCCTTATATTCATTTGCCATTGTGTCAGGACTGGGAGGATGGCCTATCTGAGACTGATGCTGATGGTTCTTTTTTGCACGAGAACTGGAACAAAGATTTACGACTCTTCAGTGATGGTGAAGATGGTGGACAAAAGTTGCTTCAGGTGATCAGAATTTAGCACTCCAGATGTTCTGAGTAGTTTGCACTTGTATCTCTGTGTTACTGACTTAGGCCAAACTGTCTTTCAGCTGTTTGTATTGCGAGCAGAATCTGAACTGCAATCAATTGGCGGAGAAAATCTTTCTCCAAACCTCCAGCGTTTGGATAGAATGAAATCGGAGCTGTGCCAGTTGTTTGGTGGCCCTATTATGAAGTCCATGACTACTCCAGAGACTGTACAATTTGAGTACCTGCGGGATGAAATCTTTAAACCCAGGAGTTTTACAAATAGAGCAATGATCGATATTAAATACAAGGGTGATTGGATGAAGCGGCCCATCTCAGATGATGAAATTGGGTGGCTGGCAAAGGTGCTTGTTAAGCTATCAGGCTGGTTGAACGAGAGTCTTGGGTTGAACCAAGTCGAGAGCAGCCAAGAGAGTCCTGTTTGGTCATATGTTGATGTGTCCAGTGATGCAAGGAGTGTCTGTGGACCCATGGAAATGATCAAAGTTGTGTTGTGCTCTTTCATTTCCTGGCTTCTTATGTTACGTGGAGCTGGTGTGCGGTTCATGAGAGAGCATGGCATCAGGGTGAATCTCAGGATCTTAGCATCAAAGAAGGTGGTAGTGGTGTTGCTTGTCATTGCTGCTTTTAGTCTACTCAGGAGAGCTTTTCTCGGAGTTGGGTAATGTTTACATGGGAGATCAAGCAAACATAACAGAATGAAGAACACAAAGATAGGTCTAGGACTGAACCAAGAAAGAACAGAAATACTCGGTGAGTGAGAGAGAGAGAGTAAAAAGAAAGGAAACAAAGAAAAAGCCTGCTTGCTTGCAAGGTTTCGTTTTGTTTTGTTTGTAAATGGACTTATAGAGTTTATATAGCAACTTGTTTGTTTGTAGGCCTTCAGTCCTTCCACTTGTTATAGATATTGTTCTTGCTCCTCCTAGCTGAAGCTATAAGCTCTCTAGTGCCTTATAAAGCACAGTGCACCAGAACCGTCACGAGCTGTGTCTCCTCCAGTCACAACTAAGAATCACAAAACCTTTCCGTTGACGATGGGATTATTTCTGCTCCTTTTGTTTTACTGTTAAACCGCGGTAAAGTGAAACAACTATCGCAGATCGTTTTATTAGATTCCTAAAGAGCTTGGAAATTGTCTGTTGGAAAGTTTCACCTCTTTGTGTTGGTTGTTTTCTGATTATAATGTCTTCTTGGTACGACGTATTTTGGTAAACTCAAAAAGTCAGCTCACAGGGGTAAGTTAATTAAACGTAAATTTGTATAGATGTACTATATTATACTGCCCATGTGGGGCAAAATATTTGTTTTTGTATTCTTTAAAACATGTCTATTGAGTAAAACAGCTGCTTTTTGGTGTTGAAGATAATTTGGCTTCCATTTAAAAGAACCACGTAGTATACACCATACATACACATCAGAAAAGTAGATGGGGAATACTCTGCCTGATAACAGTGATGCAGTCAGTGATTTCATGAAGCAAGTTTACAAATAAAAATAAGTAAAAATACGAAAAAGTTAAGAGAGGATCAACATCTATTATATATACATAAAAATAATTTTAACTTTGAATATACACTGTAACTTTCCATCGAGGAGGTTTCAAAATGAACCTACTTGGTAAATGTTCTCCATTGTTACTATCACAGAGAAAATCAACTGCACATCTTGAACTGTCACCTTCATGTCTGGAAACATATTCAGCAATGTAAATTCTTTTTCTATGTACACGTTAACTCGTTTCTGTGAGCATCTTCTGGTTTATACTGCTCGAGAATTCAACTTGCAGTGGAAAAAACTCATGAAGATAGCGAAAAACGTATGAAATGCTGAGGGCTTGAGACAGTAATCTTTTCCCCTGCTGCTTAGTGTGCATTGCAGGATTCAGGATCTGTCAGCTGTCAGTGGTTCCATACACGAACGGAGTGGAATAACCAACCGATGAAACCTCTGTCATCAGAAAAGAAACGTGGTTCATCAACAACTCTACATTCATTTGTATTCTTTTCTAGTGAAGTGGTAAAAGCTATGATCAGTACCTCATATCATCTGAAGCAAATGGTTCATGTTGCTGTTCAATCAGGTAGGGGGGCAAGTTGAAAGCACGATGAACTCGAGAGGGCTTATGATATCTGTGATTCTTGAAACTGGTTGAGTCTTCTAGACCAAATGGAATGCAATATCATATGGAAGATATCAAATCTAAATGGCATCGCGTTCCAATGAAAATGCTTCTGCACCCTCTTGACGTTATTTTGCATCACCTGATAACGTCTTAAAGGTATACTTAACAGAATCTCCTTCAGCTTAGGAATATCTTCCTCAGAAACTATCAATGAGAATGCACTCCAATCGAGCACTTCGTCAAATGGGAGGGCAAGATTATCAGCAATGATCACAGGTACACACTCGTAGTATATTGCCTCGACAATCCTTGGACTGTTCACTTCAAAACCCATTGGACAAAGACAGAACTTGCTTGATTTCATGTGTTCAGGGTAAGACATTATTCTTGAGACACCGGTAGGCAGAGGCCCGTAAATTTTCATGTCTTCATCTCGGTCACTCCAGTACTTGAGGAGTTTAGGACGGACTGGCCCGTGCATATTTCCAGCAAAAAAGGCGAGGATAGGGCGTTGTGACACTCTTTTTCCACCAACATTCACTAGAGGCTTACCGATATTTCTTATGGCGGTCTCTGGAAGGGAAACATCCTTTCCAGCTTTAAATATTCCTTCAGATATATCTGCATTGCAGAGAGCTTTTATAGTGTTTCGAATTAACTCCTCGTGATCCTTTAAAATGTAAGGCCCCTGTAAGAAAATTCACGTCGAAGATGTAAGATGGGGTCCAACACCGGGTAAACCATGTGAACTGGGATGAGTCTTGACTCTGATACCATATTGAAACGCGTGATGATTTCATCTAAAAGCTTATACTTTGGGTTATTAAAAATCTCACGGAACATTAATATAGAAGCACCCACTCTACTTCCACGAAATAATGTTATATAACATGCTATATACCAGATACAGAAGTCTGACCACCTAGTGAAATCCCACAACTGGGATCGGGTAGACCTTACCCATACCTCGTGGAGTTGAGGTTATTTCTGAAGGATACTCAACTCAAGCATAGCAAATCAAAGTAGTTAATTCGGAAAAGGGAAAATCTACAGTGAAGAAAACATGACAACTAACAAGGAAAAGAGTACAGAACATTCAGAAAAGGAAGAATAAAGTCTGATAACCGAAACACAATAAAAAAATAACAACAAAAAAATAGTCTGATAACAGATATCAAAAGCAAGAAACTACGTGAATAACAGACGTGGATGCATACCCAATCATGGCAAGCAACTAGAAAGTGATCTGTTCCGTGTGTACGATTCCAGAAGGGGTACTTTGCAGCTAGCATGTTCACGTAGTCCCGCAGGAATTCTGACAACGGCCTAAGATTATGAGAGCCAGGCACATAAACTGCCATCTGCAACTGTCGTGAACTATATGGCAGATAGAATAGGTGAGCCTTCTCAGGGTCCGTAGTGACAAAATAAGGATTTTCCTCCATCAATCTCATGAACCATCCCTCAGACGAATAAATTCCCAGAAGATGAGGTTCGTGGAAAATAGGCCTGTCTCCTTCTTTGTAAATGTAAACTTTGAGTAGAAGTTCCATCATCTCATAGCTCCTGGAATGTCAACCGAAAATTGTGAAGTCTTCTTTACTTTCTTAAACTCCGTGACATGTCAAAACAGGTCACTCAATTTGAAACAGAGGGAGATCGTACCTCTTAAAGTTGGAAATATTCCTAAAGAGAGGAGCATATAAGTCTGGATCATCGGTGACTAAAGGAGCTTTCTCAATCTCGCTTCTAGCATATGCAAGTGCCTCATTTGGTGTCAACGACGCGATAAATCTCTGTATATAACTACATTAGAGAAGAACAAGATGCCAGAAACAAATACGATCACTTATAATTGCTTAAAAGCACAATATCAAACTTACTTGCAAGTGATCAGGCACAACAGGTGGAGGCGGATACACAATTTTTTCTAATATCCGTGCCTGCCTCTTGCGTCTCCTACGCCTCAAAAGTCTTGCTCGTCTTTGCATAACTCTCATCAATCGGTTTGATCTGGCTGTAGAGTTGAGTAAAACAACCGGGGCCAAATGCTTAGTCATTTTCAACTGGTTATCAGATGTTACTACTGAAAGTTCAAGTTCCCTCGATTTGTTTCCGTGATTTATTAGGCGTTGGTACGATGCAACATCCAAAGGTGGAGAGGTAATCCATTCAGTTAAAGGATTAGGGAGGCTATAAATTTGAAAGACAACTCTAAACACTGTTAAAATAGTGCCTATAACAAAGAGTTTCTTCCAATTCACTCTGAAAAACAGAACAACAACTATTCGCCGCAAGAATTTCCTCATATCTTTTGGCATCTATACCACTCCTTAGTCCTCCCTATACTACAAAAATCCAACTTTGGTAATGAAATGATACGTACATTGACGACGAACATCGGATTTCAATTCATTTGGCAGCCTAAAACAGCCACCACATACCTCCAACATGTTCTTCAGCTCAAAGTTGAAGATCTAACAAAACAAGAGGATAAAGAAACCATTAAGTTTATTCTAACATGTAGTGTTATGATACAACCACAACATACCCAATGAAATCCTCTGGGGAGGGTAGAGTGTATACAGACCTTACAACTAACTCGTGGAGGTAAAGAAGTTGTTTTACGAAAGGCCATCAACTCAAGAGTAACAAATCCAAGTACAAAGAAGAAGAAAACATTGCAACTAACAAAGGAAGCAGTGCAAAGCAACATATAGATTTATGATCCTACATTAAAAAAAAGGCAATACTATGTATCCAACCATGGACACAAAAGAGAATGTTGTATTCAGGTTAGCTTGTTCCCACCTCGACTATTCCACGTGATATATTATAACCTCTCACCAACATAGATACCAGGTAACTCAACCAACGAAATTTCTCGTGCGAAAAAAACCTCTCAAAACCAAAAACACCAGAAGAGAAACTAGGATTTCAAACTTTATGAATTATGAATTTTAATAATGACGGTAATGCTCGGATTTTCTAATTTAATATTTAACATATTTAATTAATTTATTTGAGAAAAATCAATTAGGTCCCTGAACGCGCATGCAAACTACTAGCACTGAAAAAACCACAAATATTTACATTTTGACAATAAAAAACCAAATTGTTATTGAATATTGACATCAATTTTAAAGATTTGGTATGAATTTTTTACAAGAAATGATCACAAATTAAATTAACGATATGCTACGAATTCATAAAAATAAAGTTGTTGCACATTATAATAAAATATATTTCATGTGTACTTGATACCTTTAATGTACAAAGATCAAATGGAGGTCAGCAATACGACGTCGGAGAGTCTGGAGAAATTTGAGAGAAGAAAGTAGAAATTAAAGAAAAAAAAATGGAGATTTGGAAAGTTGAGAAGAGAATTAAAATAACGAAATTGGCGCTAACTGTTTTCATATTTATTGGTCAATTCTTCGACACTTCCTTTCATTTCAACTGCTCTTGTTTAATTCAATTTTACGTGTCAGTGTTTGATTTGACATAAAAAAAGAATTTTCTTAGTATATTTCAAAATATTTTATTTTTTAAGGTCCATATTTAAATAATTAGATCAATAATTTTTTTTTAAATCTAAATTATTATTAAATATTTATCGAAATATAAATTATAGTTATTTGAGTTTTGAAATTTTCAAAGTAAGAAAAAGTGCATAACTAATAGACCACAAATTTATTTTACTGTTACTAATCCATTTTTTTTTACTTCTTTTCTTTTACCTTCATGTTTTTAATTTATTTCATTTTCCCTTTTCATTTAAAGAAATACTTTTATTTTCTTTA